AAAGTCCGTTGAATGTGCATCACACAAAGCGGCGGCCTTCGATGATATGATTTCCAGAAAATCCTGACGAATTACGTCCACCCTCTCGCTTCATCTCGGTAAATTCGGTGCGCGTTCTGTGCCGCGGCGGCGGTTGATTTCATTTCAGTCAGACGAACCAATGTGGAAATTTTACTTGATTTTCATTCATTGCATTGGGATTGTAACTGTTTTTCTTTTTGCAGGCTTTGAACTAAAATGGTGAAATTTTGAGAATAATGAAATTAACCTTTTAAATTTTTTTAGTCCTAAATTGCTTTTTTTCTAATTAATTGATTAATTAAACAGTAAATTAAAAGAAATAGTTCGACTTAAATAAACAATTTTGTAATAAAAACATATTTTTAAGAATTATTACCTAATAGTATAAACTATAGTTTATTTATTGCTCAAAAGATAATATTATTTTTTTGAAATACTGTTTTTATTATAAAAAGAAAATATAGGTTCATATATAGGTTCATATTTAAAATATATTCGAAATTACTGTCCGTTCAGGCTAAGTTGAGCGGTCTAAGGAATGTCACCCAGTTCATCATCTCTATGTTCAGGCACAATTAAATACATGTATTTCGGTAGCCGCTCTGTACGAACAAACGACAAGCCGCGGCACTGATAAATCATCTTCTTATTACCAAAATCTCGCGAAAATTCGATATTTAATTTAATCAACGGCCATATGATCCCCACCAAAGCGCTCAACTTAGCCTGAACGGACTGGCTTATATTACTAATTTAATAGTTATATTTGTCATGAGGCTGATAAGTATACTTAGACTTATAGACTTATAAGTCTTTTTATGCTCATCCGCATGGTATATAACATTTTATCTTAAACGCAAAATTTTATTTGTTAAATTATACATAAAACGAACAATTATAATAATAAAACTTTAGGTAAAATATCACAGCTAAACGCTCGGACACGTAAACATATTTTTTGGTCGTAGATTCCCAAACCGTGCTCGGTTTAGCTGTATCAGGTCTAAAAGAGTTTTTTCTGTCGGAGATCTGATCCAGGGACACACTGTATACTGGTATATTATAGATAATTTGTAAATTAATATATTTCACCTGTTGTGCCATAATTTTTATGCTTTTTATTTCGATTAATATAATATCCTCATTTATACTCAATAAAAAAAAATAAGCAAAAAAACATTTTGAGTAGTAGTAAATATATTTATTGGAAAACCATAAGGCTATCGACCGAGATCTTTCTGCCCACATTTTGAATTTCCTAAATTATCTGTAAAAAACCCTTTTGATCAATTAACTTCAAATTTTGCAAGAATTTGTTTTTTTTAAATTTAGAACTAATGTGTGGGTCCAGCCAAATTGTTTTTTTTTTTAATTTATACTGGGTGTTTCCAATATCTTTGAAGTTTGACCTAATACAGCTAAACCAATCATCGATTTGTAATCTACACGGAAAAAAATTAAATTAAATTTTACAACAACCATATTGTAAAAAAAAATGTTTAATTATTTAATACAATTGTTTTGAAATTAACTAAAACTTAAAGCATTTATATCAAAGTATAATTTATTTAAAGTACACAATTTTGGAGCACGGCAAATCTGTATTATTTTTAATAAAGAATGGCATTAGTCAATACAATATTTTATTAAAATATATAACAATATTAATTTAAAACAGAAATTGTAGTAATTTAACTACAATATATAATTATATCTTCAATAAATTGTTGTTTATTTTTATTACAAAATTGTTAAATTATTTCTAACAAATTGTTCTTGGTCGTATTTTTTAAACAATTTATACCAGAAAATTCTACAATTGTAGTACTTTCCACAACATTTTTTTTTCGTGTACTTTGATATTTTCACCTCCCTACATATAATTAATAATTAATAAAACCTAGAAAGTGAGGTTAACTAGATCTGACAGTAGTCAATTTTTTTATTGGTCCAAACTGTTTTTTACAGATTGTGACATAAAAAAATTTACCCGATTGGTCTAAATTATTTTTGCAGCTTAGGCGATTACCAATCACTTTAGTAGTGAGTGTTTACAATAATAGAATTTAAATTATAAAACCCTTAAAGTTAAAAATAAACGGTTATTTTAAAGGGTATACAAAATACATTAAATGCTAATTTATTATTAATTAAAATATATCGGCTAAAATTGAACAATTGAAAACAATAGACAAAAATTCCATTTAAATTAATGTCATAAAAAATTAAAACCCATTTTAATATTTCAGCCCATAAAAATCCGTTATAAAGAGGTATGTTTAATTGAATGGGTGCTAATATAATAATAAGGCAAAAGTAGAAACTGCGAATAGTTTTTTTAAATCAAAACGGTCTTTTTCATTGAAAAATATTTCAGTTCTGATTCAATGGGTAACTGCGAGCTTATCGTCCCAGGAATCATAAGTTTGATGAAGAATACCTGCACAAAACTGACAACAGCGTGGAAATTGTAAACAAAGTAATTCATCAGTGCAAGAAAGATTTTAATAACGAATTTATATTTCAAAACGTATTAACTTTTTATATACCTTTGCCTGATTATAAAGCGATATTTTTATTTTAAGGATAAATCACCAGTTCACACATAGCATGATATGTGGTTTGTAATTGGTTTACGTTGCAACGCTTCATTGGCCGTCGTGGAGTCCCAAATAAGAATTTAGACCAAGAATGGTAAATTTTTTTAAGAAAATTGCAACATGCAAAATTTAATTAGTTTCGTCTCTATATCAGATTGCAGTGTTATAGAGAAGAAAGGTGATATATTAATTAATTGTTTTTAATATTATTTTTTTAATATAAAATTGATAGCTCTTTATTTATTTTATTATATTTTTATATCACAATTATATGAGAAAATACCTTTTTCATCAATATTAAATATTTCAAGAAATCCAGGTAAACTAATTTTACCATAATTTTAGGGATACTTTTTTTAGGCTAAATTTCTATAGATTTTAGAAAATGGACTTCGAAACTATATATTTCTCTCAGGGCCGGTTTATCAATATCCAGTTAAAGTTGCAGTTAGTTATCTGGTAAATAATTTTAATGTTCTCACAATGATCAATATGGAATTTAACTGTCAGATAGTCTCACTGAAACTTAACCAGAGATTGATAAACCGGCTCTCAGTGTAATAAACTAACTTACTATTTTTTCCCTGGCCGAATTCCCATAGATTATAGAAAATAGACTTCAAAATATATTAGATGTATCTATATATTCTCAGTGTAATAAACCAACAATAAAGTATAAGTACGCCATTTATTTACTGCTTCTTGACTTAAAACTCTCAACGTCACGGTTTGGGCATTCTCATCTATAGCAGCTAAACTAAGTAAATTGCCTCTTGTAAGAAGAGAATAAGCCAAGATAGGGAGTAATGATGACAATTACGCATCACGCGACCCATAATTATCACTCAACGGTCGCAGTGTTATAGCACCCCTGGGAGGCGACCGAACGAGGCTCCGTCAAGAGGAGACGGCACGCGATCTGCCGTGCAGCCAGGATCTCTATCCTCTGCTACGCTCGACTTTTCTCGTCCTGCCAAATTGCCAATTGCTATGTTAATAACGGCAAGATGCCCGTTTTGAAACTCTTTAATTTGCTTTTTTTACCTTTGTTTAAGTTTAATAGATTTAAACCTAAATTTAAGAATTTGAGTTTTTTTAGTCGAGAGATTAAAATCCGTTTTGTATGCTACTACCAAATTTGGCAAAGAGCGCACATTTTTACTATAATAATTCAAGTCAAATGACCATTAAAAATGGATTAATCCCATTATTTTATATCAAAACCTTATTTAAGTCGCTATAGGGATTATCATTTTTGATGTGTATAATTTAAATTTTCCTATTTAATTAAATAGTATTGAATGTTTAAATCATACAAAAATTCAACTTAAAAAAATATATATATTTTTTTTAATAAAAACAAATAAACTCTATTTTATATTTTTGATTTTATTTTAAGAAAACAAAAAATTTATATTATATTCAATATATGTTAAATCTTTTTTTTTTAGTTTGACGATTATACATTGCTTTAGAATCTATATATAGTGGTACCACAACCTAAAAAACATCACTTGATATGGGTTCAGAGAGTCGGGTTGGTGATTTCATTGTTTACTTTGTCTGTGGCAGCCGCTAAGGTTAGATGTGTTTTATGAGCTCGGCGATTTTTCGTTCGTTAAAAGAAATGGATCAAAGAATTTGTATCCAATTTTGCTTAAAAAATTAAATAAATTCTTTAAAATGTTAACAAATGCCTTTAGTGAGTCTGCTATATATAAGTAAAACAAGAGTTTACAAGTGGTATAAGAGTTTCCAAGATGGCCGTGAAGACGTTGAAGATGACGAACGCCCCGAACGCAAAAGCACATTAACAGCCGATAAAAACATGGAAAAAATGGAAGAAATGGTTATAAACCATCAAAGAAGTCGCTAATGATGTAGGTATATCGATTGTCTCATCCCATGAAATTTTTTCAAATGTTTTGGGTATGAAACGCGTGGCAGCAAAATTTGTTTTAAAAATTGTTAAATTTTGAACAAAATTTTTGGCCAAAAACAATACTGTTATGATGCCCCAGCCTCCATATTCGCCAGACATGCCTCTGTCTGACTTTTTCCTATTCCCATAAGTAAAGAGAACCTTAAACGTCCGTCGTTTTGCAAGCATAGATGACATTAAAAGCGCATCGCTGAAAGAACTAAAGGCTATCCCAAAGATCGAGTTTTATAAGTGTTTCAAGTATTGGAAGAAGAGCTGGCACATGTGCATAATATCCAATGGGGACTATTTTTAAGGCGACAACATTAATGTAGATGAATAAATAAATATTTGTTTCAAGAAAATTCCCGATATTTTCTGAACACACCTCGTATGTCCACGTAGGTAATAGAAAATTATTAAATTTTAATCTATAGAATATGACAACGTTTCACTTCTGTCATCATTTGTCAACGAAAATTAACATGTAAATATTTTAGGGATATTTAAAAATTATGTCGGGAGATGAAGCGTGCATATCAATTGTTAAAAGCGATGTTGTTTTATTGACCAATGAAATTATTACTTGTGAATATACCTCACAGGAAAAAGGAGAAGATCTCTTGGACAAAATATGTAGGTTCCAAAAAATCAACGAGCCCTTCCACTTCGGGCTTAAATTTAAAGATATTAATGGTTCAATGAAATGGTTGCACATGCAAAAACTTATAACGACACAAGTTAACTGCCGAAATATTAAATTTTATTTCCAAGTTCAGTTTTATCCGATTTTGCCAAATGATATTTGCGATGTGCATACAAGACACAATTTGTATCTTCAACTAAGGAGAGATTTTCACGAATCCAAATTTATTATTTCTCCTTCTGTTGAGGTATTTTTGACGGCAGTTTTAATGCAATTGGACTTGGGTGATAAATGCAATTACGATAAAAATGAACTATACATGTACCAACCTAAGATAATACATGAAGAAGCAAAAGCACTTCACGAAAAAATGAAAGGAATTAGTGCTTTCGAGGCACAGGAATGTTTTCTTGTTACCATTGGAAATATTGATGGATATGGAATGGAAGTTCATGAAGTAAGGGACTCTGAAAATAACGTTTGTCATATAGGTGCAAATTTTTGTGGAATATCAGTTTTTAAAAACAGAAATTTGAAGGATATTATGAATTGGGTAGAAATAGAAAAATTTCTTTGGGAAGATGAAATATTTATAATAGTTTTACATGGTAGAAATTCGGAAGCGTTTAACTGTGGAACAAAGAGTAAATGTTTTTACATTTGGAAGCAAGTAATGGATCACCTTATTCATTTTTGCATCACAAATGAGGACAGGGAAACACAATTATCGGGGGTACGTGATATGTTAAATAATTTAGGTGATGCCTCTAGTGTTTCTACAATATTAACTGATAAATCTCTAAAACCACTCAATGAAGTTATAGCAAATTTTCTTTGGGATGTTGATCAACAAATCGAAGAAGAAAGTGTCAAATCCATATCAAATGTGATGATTATAAGTGAATATAATTTTAAACATAATGATTTTGAGGATTACAATGGAAAATGTCAGGATTTAGTAGGTCAAACCTACTTATATTTTGTGTTTTTTGTTTTTGTTATAATATTTGCAATTAAATCGGACGTTTTATTTATGTTTGAAAGGATAAAATAATAATAATATTAATAAAACTCAAAGTTCATGATCACAATTTGTTTAATTTTCAGTGTAGTAGATTAAAGTTTGTGTGTTGAAACATTCACAAGCTTAGGTACAAGTTATCAATAAATATAATACATACAAAGTGCTTACAAATATTTAAACATTTTAATTAATAATTTACATTTGATTTACATTCAACATTTACTAATGCTATACAAAAAGGATAATAGAGAAAAAATATAACAGTTTAATTATAAAATATGTACAATAAGTTTCCATAATATCAAATACTGATTGACCTTTAATAAGACAAATAAGAAAAACGAAATGTACAAAGTTTACATAAGGCGTCAAATGGTAATTTTTGGTAAAAACATAAAATAATAAATACACATTGAGTAAAAAATAATATCCTATTTGGTTGTTTGTTAAATTACAAATAAAAATTATACCCGTATTACTTTCGCTACAGAAATAGAAATCCTGCTAAAAGTGGTGAGCTGCAGCTTCGCAGCTTTAAAATCACACTCGCAACAAAAACGAAGCTGACAGCTTGTGTCTTCCACGGGGGTAGTTTCCTCCATCCCCCAACGACGGGGGCCACAAAGCGCTGAAACCGAACACCGAGCTTTCTGGTGTCGTGATCTTTCAGCTCTGGGAGTATGGAGTTACGCGACGTGACAACATCACAACCCCGTACTCTGCATAATTTAATCATCAAGGATAATCTTAATGTTTTGTTCCAAATACTGACTACGTGTAAACGTATACATCTATAGATAAGGAAATTTTAATTAAATTATTTTTAAGCAATGTACTGGGTGGATAAATTAACATGTTCTGCAAAAATAAAATCTTTTTGATAAAGGACACTGTATTTTGTACACCTACGTCGGTTTTGAAATAAAATATAGTTGTGAACAGGTAAGAAAAATCGTACTTTATGTTACGTATTAAACGTCTTAAAATGAATTAGTAAAAAATAACTGATTATAAGTTATATTTGACTAATTGTCATAGCGAAAAAGCAGTCACTAATAATTAGTCAAATTCTACTGAATGAAATAGTCAAATTAGTAGAATTAAATTTAAAAAGTTTTGACCCAGCCGGGGATTGAACTCAGGTCTGTCGCTTGTTAAGCTGTTGTCATAACCAATTTGGCTATCATTCATTTTTATAAAAACCAATTTTATTTATCAATAAATATTGTTCATAATATTTTAAAGTTGAATATATTATTTGTGTTGCTGTTTTGAGCTAAACTTTTCGCATCTTTGTTTTTATGGGCCATTTAACCATGGAGCCTATATGCATTTAATTCAAATAATACCTACTTTGTTGTTGGTCGCAAACGATTAAAGAAATTAGTTACTTTTTACTCTCAGAAATAGTCAAAGATAGTGACTAATCTTAAATTAGTAAAAACTTTAACTAAATATTTACGTAGTAAAAAATAACTATTTTAAACTATTTAAAACTATTTAAAACTATTTAAAACTATTTTATTAGTAAAAAATGCTGGTACTAATTCAAATAGTAGAATTTTGACTATTTCATTTTAAGAGAGTAATATATATCATCCGCCATGTTAAGTTTGATACGTAATATAAAGTTCGATTTTTCTAAAATAAATAAACCGGGTGTCCCAAATTTGTCCCGGTACAAAGATATTAAAAACTCCTTAGTTTAAACGAAGCCATATTTAAAGAACTGTCTTATACGTTTTAAAATGTAAATTATGCAAATAAATGTATTTACACTAATATATTTGTTTTCTAGATAGTTTAATTATTGTAATAATGACATTTTATACAAATTGTTATTATTTAATATTAAACAAAGTTAAATTTAGTTTTCGGATAAAGCTCAGGTTTTGTTGGGAGAAGGATATCTTTATTTAGAACGCGAGTTGGATGCCTGAAGAATATAAAGTAGACTTCCTTGATTGAGCGACTTGATTTTTAACCAGACTTTCCTGCAACTGCGAATTGAAATCCTGCTTTTCCAAAGGAAATGCGAGATTTCGCTCGAAGCGGTAATGTAAATTCAAACGGAAACCTATACCGCTGACTTTTATTATTATTTTATCTCCCATGAATTATGGATTTTGATCTGTTTTATTTAATTTTGGTTTCTCTGGTTTTAGAGAACGAGAAGGTATATATTTCTTGTTGTAATTTATCAAAATGTTTTGGATTTAATTGCACAGTTTGTAAATAAAAAAAATAATTGCACATTGATTAACGACTAAAATTGTTAACACTGATTAATATTAAGGTACAGTCGTAAACTGCAGCGAACCTCGATTAACCTAAAGTTAGCACCATATTTAATATGATGGCTATAATCACAGATGATACATCAATAAATTGACAAAATAAAAGTACTATTTGGTAAGTCTTTGGTAAAATACTTTTCCTTAATTAGTCCAAAACACTGCACCTAAAGGAGAAGACATCATCATGTCTTGATTGGACCTCACCAGTGACTGATTCAAAGGAGCCCGGTAGTTCTTTTCCTCCAAATTACTTTGTACGTTATCTTTGGTATTGAAAGTAGCGACCGGAAGTTGAGGAACACTTCCGGTGCTTTGGCACTATGTGACAATAGGACGCAGTTCTGTATGCTGAGTCTCCTTGTGCCTTCTCAAGTCAACTTTTCTTTGGAAAGCTCGACCACATAGATCGCATGCGAATGGTTTGAAACCTGTGTGTTTTCTCGAGTGAGTGATCAGGTTTGAGGACTGACTGAAGGCTTTACCACATACGGTGCATTTATGCGGTTTTTCACCTGAAAACAAAAAATAAAGTAAGATTTAATTGTGTCTAAAAAAATAAAGATAATAAAAAAACAAAATCTCTCAGCAAGATGTGTAAAAAATAAAAAGGAATCCGTTCCGCAATTTCTTATCAATCAACACAAACTTCTTTACGGCTGCCGAGATCTTTTTGCTATTCATCGAATGGTTCCCCGAAATCCCCCACCTGCGGTCTATATCGTGCGCGCTTTATCTCCCGCTTTTTTGTCTCCCTCCCGCATTCGCGTCCCCCCGCGATCCGTTTCCTAGGTAACGGGAGGGCGCAGGCGGGGCCATTCTTGAACGAATCACAGTCGCCGCAAACTGATAGCAATCGATAACACCTAAGTTATAGAGAGCGGTTTACGTCTCTTCTTAAAGACGATACTCATCTTGCTGTCTATATCGAGAATTAATAAACCAAGGACTTCTTTTATGCTCCACATAAAAACAAACATAAAGCATACTGCCAGGATCCATTTTAAGGCTCTCTTAATTTTTAAGAACCTTCATTTATGTCCAAACCAGTGCATGAACAGTAAACCGTGTCCAGTGATTTAAAAGGTCCAGGATATTAATTTTCAGAAGCTTACGACTCCGGGCAGTAACCAATATATCCGAAGCATTCCGACATTCCAGGGTGTAGTGTCCGCCCCGGGCTGCAATCCTGGCTCAAATATGCGAGCTTACTCACTTCCAAGAAATGCGTCCTGTGATATTCCGGACAGGACATTATTCAAACATATGAATCCTGGATTTACCCAGCCTGAATATTAAGCGAAACGGCTCGAGTTTATTACATTTTTAAGTATTATATTGCGTGAATATTAAAAACAAATCCGAAGCAAACAAAATCCTAATTTTAAATATTTTAGTTTCAAATCTAGGCAACCTGCAACCAGGGCAGCCGTAAGCCAAAATCAGCAGTTCCTTAAACCTCCCGAAGGAATCATAAAATGTATGGCTGATTTGACAATCTTAGACCCTCAGAATTCGTATGTTTCAAGTTTTACCGTCTTGGCAAAAAGAAAATAATATACTGATTTTCACAAAAAGTTCAATGAAATATATAAAGATTTTTATAATAATCAATTAACAAAAGATTGGCATCTAAGAGCGAGAATTCTAAATAATGGTTATATTTAATTAAATAGCAATACTTAAACCTAATAATACCATGATAAACCTTCTACCCTCATGCCTTGGAAAATAATTTTAATATATGTGATAAAAAGGAAAATGCCTTTTTAAATCGATATCATACCTTACCATATACGAGGTGTGTTCAGAAAATAACGGGAATTGTAAAATTTCGGTTCAGAGGGTCCGGTTGTCATAAAATTTTCTTTATTATGTTGGTATACATGCCCCCGAAGTATGATAAAAACTTTAGCTGTTTTCATTGCTTACTTTGTCTGTGGCAGCCGCTAAGGTTAGACGTGTTTTATGAGCTCGGCGATTTTTCGTTTGTTAAAAGAAATGGATCAAAGAATTAGTATCCAATTTTGCTTAAAAATGAAATAAATTCTGTGAAATGTTAACAAAGGCCTATAGTGAGTCTGCTATAAGTAAAACAAGAGTTTGCAAGTGAAATAAGAGTTTCCAAGATGGCCGTGAAGATGTTGAAGATGACGAACGCCCCGAACGCACAAGCACATTAACAACCGATAAAAACATGGAAAAAGTGGAAGAAATGGTTATAAACCATCGATGATGATGTTGGTATATCGATTGGCTCATCCCATGAAATTTTTTAGAATGTTTTGGGTATGAAACGCGTGGCAGCAAAATTTGTTCTAAAATTGTTAAATTTTGAACAAAATTTTTGACCAAAAACAATACTGTAATGATGCCCCGCCTCCATATTCGCCAGACGTGCCTCTGTCGGACTTTTTCCTATTCCCAAAAATAAAGGGAACCTTAAAGGGCCATCGTTTTGCAAGCATAGATGACATTAAACGCGCATCGCTGAAAGAACTAAAGGCTATCTCAAATATCGAGTTTTAGAAGTGTTTCGAGTATTGGAAGAAGAGCTGGCACATGTGCATAATACCCAATGGGGACTATTTTGAAGGCGACAACATTAATGTAGACGAATAAATAAATATTTGTTTCAAAAAACGAAAATTTCCGATATTTTCTGAACACACCTCGTACATGCATTTAAAGTTTTTAAACGGAAAAATAGTAGTTACAAAAATAAATAACTTTTAAATAATTACATTTGAAGCAAAACTGGAAGCAAAATAACTCTTTGGACTGTTGTTTTGGTTGGTGTAATGAATCACCAGTGAGACCGAGAGATTGGTGCAAAGCTTAAGAAGAGTGTTGTGATATCGCAGCCAGGGACATAAAGCAGATGACTGCGAAAGCATGCTCGTAATGGCGGCAGATTTCGCGCGGTGGTTATGTTTTAATAGAATTTACGATTATTACTGTAAGAGGGTTGAACGTAGTCTCGGAAAAGGGCGACGGAAAGCAGATTTAAGCTCGGCTTAAGTGGATGTTGCCAAGATGCACTCTGCAAAATGATTTTCCCGGCCTGGCAGTTTAAACGTTTTAAAGCGTTTTAAACGTTCCTTTTCCCAGATGACGCTAAATAACGAACCCACCGACAATTTAATTGCTCCGAAGCGAGTTTGGATTATCTAAATGACATGTCGGCACATTATTTAATAATTATGGTTTTGGTTAGCTTGCTTAAATTTAAGAAAAAAATCACTGCAGTACAATACTTAATAATTATTATAAATTGTTTTTTTTATTTGGCTTCGATAACTTTTCTCTACAGAACGCTTGTGCTTGACCCAAAAGTCCCACTTTGAAATTTGAAAACAAATAATAAAATCTATGTATTTTTTGTGTATAAAGGTCCTTAAAACAAAAAAAACCTGTCAAGTTTCACCTTATTTTAAAGGTAATGAAAAAAGAAACACATGCTCAAAAACCAAATGATTTGGAAAATCGCCTACTTGAAGAAACCACAATTGCATTTACGAGCGTTTGGGTCATTGCGAGATCGAAAATGGTCGACAATTTGAACATTTGTTATAAAAATCCTAATAAACGTTCAAACAAACATTAAAACAGTTTATTTTCACACTTGGTAGTCAACCCCTCATAACTCTTGAAATAAATAAGAAGTTTAATTTTAGAAAAAAAAAGTTTCTAAAACTATCATAGTGTTATTAGTCCATTTATATTTGTTGTCTTTTTATTTCAATTAAAAAACTATTTTTACAATATATTGCAGTAATAAGTACTAATTTATTTTTAATTAATCAAAAACAAAATCATTAAATTAATCGATTAAAATAATAAAATCCAAAAATAACTTTCATCGATCGATAAATGGTTCTCAAAAAAGAATAACAAATCCATCGAAAGGCTTGGCGGGAAATTTCCACGGCTACGCAAACTTCAATCCCTCCGGGTTAGTTAAGAAAATATTTGGCCAAAGGCAATCTAAATTTGACGGCATAAGTGTTTTGGTCTGATTGGGCCGAAGTGTTTTTCTTACTGGATTGCTTTGCGTCAAGATATTTTTCTCATCACTCTTTTTCCGCTAAAAATACATCGGTAGCTTCTAATTATTTTGCTTTTATTATTTACATTTTCTATTTTTTACTGTCTGGTTAATGGGTTGTAACTGTTTAGTTTTTAGGCCGGTAAAAACGTCTTAACTGTTACAGTTCCAGGGTGTATTTAAATAGCGATGACTTACTGTTCCATCACTATAAACGATAAAGGAGTTTTTGAGTAGTAAGCAATGATTTAAAAAAAAACGCAAAGACACGTCAACTTCAGTTTCGATGGGTGCATATTCTGCTATGGATTTTATATGCACTGCATAGTGTGAAGGTGCTCCAACTTGTTGAAACATTAAATGGTCTTTTGTTTTTAACAATATAGACCAGTATTAGTATGAACTAAATCTTCTAGTAACTTCAAATACGTTTTTCCTGTCAGGTTATCATCAACGAAACGATCCACGAAAATACCTGCACAATTTTTAAGAAGTGTGGACTATTATTTGCACCTGATCAGTAACGAAAATTATGGCGATTGACAGTTGAGTAAAGAAAAAAGTACACTCTAAAAAATAGATGTTAAAAACCAAATTCTTATCATTAGCTATTTGTTCACTCATAGTTTCACAAAACTCCAGTCTCCGGTCAAAATCGTCCTCATTTAATTTATAGGCTAAATGAATCTTGGACAAAATTTATGAGATCGAAGGTTCCGTTGGATGGTCCTTTTAGGAATGTTGGTAACCGTCCTAAAACAGGTCCAAAGATTTTTTGTTCGTTACTGATTTTGTTTCTTGGAACTACAACTCCAAAACGACCTTTTTATTTACATTTAAAAAAGGGTGATCATTTCAACTCTTTATGCAATACTAGTAACAGCTGTTAACCATTGTTTGATAAAACTTATTTGGTTTACTCAAAAGACTAAACATTTTTTTCACAAATTCCCTATCTGTACTTTTTTATTTGAAAAGTAGTTGTACAGTTTCAGTATGGTAAAATTTCCCAAGCTAAATATTTTTGTTACTTTGTTACTTTAATTACAATATAAAAAATCGCATTGAAAACTTAATGTAATAGTGTGAAAAAGGGACTTTGAGAAGAAAATCTTTTCATCGCCAACACAGAGATTTTTAATAAATCTAGACAGTAGTAGCTAAAGGTTGGTCTCCGAGGACCTACATTTATCCTGTCCTTTGTTTCACAGCTAGACCTGAACAGATTACTAACTACCCGACGAAATCATATTTCGTCCTGGTCCTGATACGAACAACGTGATGGGAAAGATTGAAAAATATACTGATTTTAATAAAAAAAAAACAGAAATAGAAAATCATAAAAGTCGTGTAAAAATTAATTAAATAATTTAAGTGGCGCTCATAAAATCTATTATTTTCAATTCTATTATTAAAATCAAGCAAAAGGGAGTTGGGGTAGAGGCAAGCATATCTGGTAAAGTTAAA